CATAATATATGAGTGTGTACTGTGTATATTTATTATGTATATATAAACACACACACATACAGTATATATTTAAGACAAATATGTTGTTTATATACTAAATATATTTATATAAAATATAATAATATAAATGTATATACATGTAATGTGTATGTATTTATATATACATAATAAATAAACACAGTACACATACATATATTATGCAAACAAAAACTTTTATTTTGGATGCGATTAATCGTTTGACAGCACTATTTAAAATACAAAATAACAGCAAATATGTTTGAATTCATGAAATACAGATGGCATTTAAAAAATGCAAAGAAATACACACTCACCATTGTTAAACATAACGCCAAACTCTTCCAGGAGGAAGTTGATATTAGTGTCATATTTCATTTCTCCTCCTTCTCCGAGCATCACAAGAAGACCTCCACCGCTGTCCAGATACTGCTTGAGAACCTCCAGCTGAACCACAACAGATATACAGCTCATATTATACATCTGCATCATATTATACAGCTGCATCCTCGATATTTCAGCTGCAGATCTCACCTCAGCAGCAGTGAACTTTTCTCGAGGGCCTGCAGTGATCCATAGCTTGACTCCTTGGAGTTTCTCCGAGGTGAGCTCCTCTTTGATGCTGCAGAACATGTAGAGTTTAGTAATGCACAGTGTTTTGCTCATTTATTACACCATTCATTTCTAACGGCTATTTTAGAATGTCTGCAATCCAACAAAATGAGTGCATAATTCACATCAAAGTTGTGCTGTAGATGGGCACAACTCCAGGAATGTAGTGAATAAAGCCCCTCACATCTGTACACACGAGCCATGTATGAGGTTATACCTTTGAATCTTCCATTGTGCTCTTAATTTCTTCTGCATGGACTTGTATCCAGAGTTGGTGGTGAAGAGCTCTCGTTTGGATGCGTTGAAAATAACGATGTTTCGTTGCTCCTGGTCCATGTTGGCATAAGGGTCAGAATACACTATTTACTAACCCAAACTCTGACGATGGAGGGACAGATTACTGTCTCTAATAAACGAACCACGACGCTTTCGTCGCCGTTTTCTTCTGCCACAGGCTGGTGTATTGAAATTTTTAATACATTATCGCCTCAATCCCGACGTTGTACGACAGAGGAGCAACAACTGCAAAATATACGCAAACTGTAAATGTTGTGCATCAGCTAAGCTAGCAGGCTAACGCTAATAACACTCGCTACACAACTGATCAAACCGGTTAACGCAGCGAGTCGTTACGCGACTTTGTTACGTAAGGGGTTCTAATGTTAACAGTTTATAAAATGTGAATGCTTCTAAAAAACGAAAAAGGAATCAAAGTTACCGCAGAACTCACCATATTGCCTCAGTGGCCGTGAGCGATGCATTGTGGGTATTTGTGGACATTGGACAACACAAGCGTAACCAGGGGCGCTTCCTCCATAGCAACTCTGTTCTATCAACCCACACTTTTTTCTTTTAGTTTTAATGGCTAAATTTCATATTCATAAAATTTCAAGGAAAAATCCATGTTTTATAGCGTTTAAAAATGAAGTGAAGCATTATATTGAGTCCCTATATATATATATATATATATAACCCTAAAAGAAACAGAAAGCTATGGGAGCTTGTGTAACTTTAATGCACTTCAATTAAAGCATTATTTTTTTTGTGTTTGTTGTAATTGAGATGCATTGAATGTATGAACATTGTTCAGAAAGCTATGGGAGCTTGTGTAACTTTAATGCACTTCAATTAAAGCATTATTTTTTTTTGTGTTTGTTGTAATTGAGATGCATTGAATGTATGAACATTGTTCAATGACAAAAAAAACCAAACAAAAAAAACTGTTCTACCACAGCAGTAAAAAACAGCTAACAAATCACGTGGCTCGCTAAGTCTCTCACCTATGTGAAAAATGTAAAAAAAAAAAATTAGACATGCCTAGAGTTCAGCCTTACTGCAGGAAAAAAACAAAACACCCCCGCCCCCGCCAATTACAAGTTGTACGAAGCTAATGAAACGTTTAGAATAATATACCTAGTTGTAGTACCTGTTAAAATGAGTGTTCACAACAGCAATCCACTTACATTTCTATTGTAACCTTGAGCTCCTGCACTTTGATTCAATTATGGATTGTCTTATTATTGGGAGATGTGAGGGTCTGTAGTACCAAAGACTATAGAATACCTCAAATGGACTCTGAATACTTGAAGACTGTGGTCTCCAGAGGGGCAGCAGAGAGGAGAGGAAAGAGGTTTCAACTGGAGCACAATATACTTTAGGTGTGACACATACAGAGCTGAGTGTGAGGGAAAAGCAGCAATAGTCTTCAAGCATATGGTCAATATCTACTCGTATTTCAGGAAAGAAAAGGCAGCAACACTCAAAACCAATTAAATGTTTATTTAACTAAAACACTGGAAAATATTCAAAAACCCATTTAAAAATGAGATCTATCACAGGAGAACACACTGAAAGTCATGTAATAAACTTTTTGTAAAAACAAAACAAAAAAAAAATTCACAATGACAGTTCAAGATGATCCAAAGCACTAAGAGAAACAAAAAGCTTCCAGGAAAATTATCGGCAAAAGATATGAATGACTACACAGTGACGAAGCATTTCCAAAGCCAGCCACTCAACTATCACATCTTGTTAACTACACAAAAGGACAGCTGCAAAAGTAATTATGCATTCTATCAAATTTAGGCTATAACATTGTTACAGCCTCCTTGAACCTCACACCAAAGCAAAAACACGAAGAGCCTTTTAAAGACGCCCCATAGCAAAGAGTCGAATACAAACAACAGCCTGAGCAATACTTATAAGCACAAAACGTTATAAACTAATAATAAAAAGGAAAACAAATTCCAAATTCAAGGGGGCTCTGGTATGCAACTGTTTTAATGCAATGTTGAAAACAGCACCGTAATCAAACACTACACAGGGCTGCAGCCTCTTTAATCATTTGGTGAATGTTCATAGGCTGTGAATGATCGATTAACACTGAACTGTGCATGACGTATTCCTGCTGTGTAAACCAGTCGGCGAGACACTAGTCTTGAGAGGCAGACCGAGAGCGGGAACGAGACTTCGAACGTGAAGGAGAGCGAGAAGCAGAGCGCTTGCCGGGCGACTCCGACTGACAGCGGTTCTCTTCAGGAGACGGCGAACGAGAAGTGGACTTGGCCCGGTCTCCATTTCCATTCTCCCTCGGAGAAGCAGAGCGGCTTCGGGACTTCTTACTGACCGACTTCTCCTTGGAGCGGCTCCTGGAATCCCTCTCTGACTTCACTTTGGAGCGGCTCTTGGAGCGAGATTTGCGGGCATCGGAGCAAGAGCGGGACTTGTGGCTGGCGGAGCGACTGCGTGACTTCTGCGTACGCGAGCGGGAACGAGACTTTGACTTCCTGGAGCGGGACTTTGTTGGGGACTTGGAGTGAGACTTTCTCCTAGACCTGGACCGGGACTTGCGACCAGACCTGGAACGAGAGCGGTGCTTGCTGCGGGACCTTGAGCTGTAAAACACAGACACAAGCCAGTTAGAAAAGCACTCGGTCACATTTGAACCACACAAAAAAATAAATTAAAAAAAAAAAAAAAAAAAAAAAAAAAAAAAAAAAAGCTGCGGGACCTTGAGCTGTAAAACACAGACACAAGCCAGTTAGAAAAGCACTCGGTCACATTTGAACCACACAAAAAAAAAAAACACAATCCTACCGAGATCTGGACCTGGAACGGCTTCGTGAACTCCTGCGGCTCCTGCTGCGAGAACGGCGTCGGCTGCGAGACCTATAAAACACAACGTCCAATTCAAGAGACCTACAAAAACCCCAGACATTTACCAGAATAAACACAGACGTGTGTGCAAAGACCAAGTGAGATGAAGCTAGGAACTGAAGGCCTGACCTTGACCTGCTCCCAGAGTAGGAGCGACATCGTCTAGGCTTGTCTTCCACAAGATGGATTTTTCTTCCGTTGATATCAGTGCCATCCAACTTGTCCAAAGCTCTCTTCATATCGGAGTAAGAGCGAAACTCAATGACACCCTCATTGGTCCTTTCTTTGTGGGCATCAGCATAGGTCACCTCTCCAGCTTGACGCATGAAGTCCTACAGTCAAGAACAACAAGGCCTCCAATTAAAGATACTAAGGTTGCATGTAATCAAAGTCCCTTTAAGACAAGTCATGTCACTTGGCGGCCATCTTTGAAATGCCGCTCAGGCATGCAAGTGCAGCTCCAATCTCTTTGAATGGGGAAATATCAAATTCTCCAAAACTGTTCACCAAGCTTACAATTAAATTTCATATTTGAAATCACCAATGAAGTCGGACAACAACTGCCTCATAAATGTCGTACCTAATGCTCCAATAGCATAAAAAAAAAAAGCTTATTTTTCAGGCTAGATCAGCCAGTGCGCATGCACAGTCCTAAGCCCACGTCTCAGCCTGGAGGAAAGCCAGCTTATCTGATGCTCTCAGTAGAGGCTAGTCAGTGTCTTTGAGCTACTGAAAGAAAGGCCTCACTCATTTGATATCTATGGACGCTTATCATTGCTGAGAAAGACACTGCAACATCACCAAGACTCCATCGAAACATAAACAGTTGTCTATTCAGAGAAGACACAGGCTATAATAAAGCCAGTGGAAATGGCTGGAGTTCAGCTCACAATTAAAGAATTTATGCGTATGGGTGTTTTCATACCAAAGTCCCTTTAAGGCACGTCATTTCACTCGGCGGCCATATTTGAAACGCCTCTCGGGCATGCAAGTGCAGCTCCTATCTCTCTGAATGGGGAAACATCAAATTCTACAAAACTGTTCACCAAGCTTACGATTAAATTTGATATTTGAAATCACCAATGAAATCTGACGACAACTGTCATAAATGTTTATTCAAAAAAAAAGCTTATTTTTCAGGCTAGATCAGCCAGTGCGCATGCACAGTCCTAAGCGCACGTCTCGGGATGCTTCTAACGGCAGCTGCAGTGACGTGCTAACTTCACAGATTAGCAATTGGCTCTTTTACTCGGAGGGCGAGGCTTCCTTCGATAGCGCGGCCATATTGAGCGTAGGGGTGTGCGATATTGACAAAAAATTATATCTCGATATTTTATGGGATTTTATCGATAGTTAAAATAAAACGTTTGAAAAATACATTATTTTTACAAGTTTATCTGGGCGGAATCTACATTTTTACCTCAGACCTCACATGCGTTTTCTTCGTGTCAGTTGCGGTGAGTTAAAAAATGACCATGCGAAAGACGAGAAGGTGTGGGAATATTTTGAATTAGAAGGAAACGGAAAAGTTTTGAGTAAACCGTGTAATGTCAAATTGTCTTACAATAACTCTACTGGAGCGATGCATAATCATATTCAATACAGGCACGTAGGCGTTAGCTTAGAGGCTGGCCAAAGTTGATAATTTTACTGAACAAATAACGCATGGTCTGAGTAAGTAAAATGGGCATTGTTGCATTATTTTGTTTTTAGACAAAGATATAGCCTACACGAAGTATGTTTTTAAAAGCCGTTTTAATGCTATTTCTTGATAAACCTTCCTATTGTCTTTGACTTGTGTTTTAATATGTTGGCTAACATTATATGAAGATTAAGAATTCCGTCAGGCTATTGATTGATTTTCCATTGTTCTGCATTTCCCCAGCTGATTTGAATAAATAAGCTATGCTTTGGCCGACGTTGAGTTGAATTACTGAAATAAATGAACTTTTCCACAACATTCTAATTTATTGAGATGCACCTGTATATGCTACACGCACGCACAGAGGTTTTTTTTCTTACTATCTTTTGGGGGTTTCTTGCTTTTAGACTAGTCGACTAGTCGGATACAAAACTTTTGTTTAAACGTCAGTCAAATTAGTCGTCGCGCACATCCCTACTGTTTACACCCTTCTCTAATTGGATAGCTATCGGATTTGTTAAAATGGCTCCATTTACACTTGGACACATAATATGTCTCCGCCAAACAGATATAAATCCGATCTTCAATTCCCACGCTACATGCAAATTTAACGGAGTTCACGTCAACGAAAGCAACAGATACGTGCTGAATTTTATTGATTATCAGCTGATTTCAAGATCAAAGACCACAGCCATCAGCACTGGGAAGTTAAGTTTGTCTTACTACTTTTTATGAATGATTGTGTTGAGCGTCTACAACTTACTTTCAGTTTCATCTACGGCCGTTTGCGCGTCGGCTTACTCAAGACCCACTCAGCTACTCATCTGCGGCGAAGCGTCTCGCATTAGCGCCGTCATATCTGCCTAAAAGTGTCATACCCTATAACCCAAAATCAAAGTCTTCTTGATCACTAGAAACTTCCAAGCAGGTGTGATTTGGAGCTAAACTCTGCAGAGCTGTAGCCCTCCAGGAATAGAGTTTGAGACCACTGGCCTATAACATGCTATCAGACATTAAGATTTTGGGAGGATTAAAATTTACATATGCCGTTTCAACAACCAGATGCATTTACACTGGTCCAGTTTCATCTGGAATGAGATTTCGAGATCAGATTTAAATCCGAGGGCATTTACACCAGATGTTTTCATGATCGGATAGCTATCCAATCAGAGAAAACGCATGAAGTGACCAGGTGTAAACAGGCCCTAAATGAACACTCTAATCCATTGTCATTTCATTGCAATATTTTCATTTTTTGGACACTTTTGAAAACATGAACCCAAGCTCACCTTAAGATCCTGCCAGCTGCAGCGACTGGACAGGTTCTCCACTATCAGTCGGTACTCCGTCCGAACCGGAGGTCCATATTTCTCTTTTCCGCTTCGGCTCCTGCTGCTATAACCACTACTGCCTTCAGACAAAAGCCAAGAGACAATCAGTACAGAATTAGACGCAATCCAGAAAGCGCACAAGGCAACCTCTTCAGACATCTGCATAAAGCATGATGTTAAGGCATGAGAAAATGGAGTCTTCCCATCCCACCCCACTGAATAGTCACACCCAAATAAACGTAAGACCTCAGCACCACATAGTTCTGAAGGGAACGATTACTGTGGAATTATTAAAAACAAACAAAACGTATGACTGCACTGGATTTGTTCAATCAGTCCCTCTGAAGGGGTCAAAGGTCGCATTGCTGGTCTTCACCCAACAGCTCAAGAACAGCAATGCTCTGGACGTGAATACTGCTCCAGCGACACAGGTTTTAACGTGAGCCCCAATTATAAAGACAGCAAACAAGTACACAATACCCTAGGGCTGGGTATCGTTAAAATGTTTTCGATATCGATACCTTGACTTCGATACCGGTTCCTGAATGATACTTTTTTCGATACCAATTTTATGAAATAAATTTTAACAAGATTACATTATCTAAAAAAAAAAAACTTTGGTTTTATTTTTCAGCTTGTTGAGGTTTATACAAACTCAAAGACTCATCTCCCAAGCCCCTGCACAAAGGAACAAAATGTAACCAACACAAATCAGTGCAAAATAGTTTTAATAAAGCTCAAATAGTCTTCAGTTTACACATCTGTTAGGCTTACATTTACACTGTTCGTTTTAAAACTCATAGCTCAGACAGAATCATGATTTCCATTTATTTTCCACTGATTTACTGATGAGCATTAGCAGCTTCCAGCGCTGTCTGCCTGTGCCCTCTCTTCCATGATCGCTGCTCTGACT